CGTCTTGTAGCCTTGATGGAGCAACGTGGGATGGGAGTGTTCAGTGTAAGTGAGGACCAATATGAGTCAAGACTATATATATTTTCCTAATTAAAGTAAGTTCTGTTTCCTTCCTTTGCAGATAGTTTTCCAGCAGAATGTGTGTCTCTGGCTGTAGATGGGAAAGCAGCAGCAAAGTGCAATTGCTGTGAGACTGATTTCATAACTCTGTTAAACTTCAGGGAGAGCAGAAAGAGCCAGAGCTGAGGAAAGCCTGCCATCAGATTTCCCAACCAACTTCCCAGACTTGGAAGAGGCAGATGGACACCTGATCTTTCAGACATGTGGCATGGCTGAATTTCCAAGCCTCCTGAGATGCCTCCTCCTTGCTATTCTCCTCCTCCCTCCATTTCCCTTTGGAAATGCATAAATCCATCACACACCCAACCATGACTGTGTGTTAGATGCTTGTTAGGCTGAGGCATGGGGGTTCAGATCTGCAGGGGAGGCTCCCCAAAGTGTCTCTGTAGGAGCATATTCAAGTCCACTGAGCAGCTGGTGTTTGCAGTACCGAATCACAGTTTATTGCTGAAGTAGGCTCTGCTGCGAAGGAACTGAGTCGGGAGCCTCTGGCACCCCTGGGCTGGGCAGGAGTCCTCCTGGCCATAGGTTTTGTGCAGACTGGGCCTGGACCACCAGCAGTGCAGTGCTGAGGACAGGGACTGGCTCTCCATCTGGACCCAAACCACAGCCAGGGCTTTGTCAGGAGCCTCCATGTAGCCCCGTCAGGGCTCAAAGCTTAAAGGGGAGCTTTAATTGCACTTTAAACTCATTGCGCAGTGTCTGATGCCATTTGAGGTAGATATGTATAACTGCTGCCTTGGATTATGTTTTCCTTGGAGCAGTTTTTCAATCCACAGTGTGATATTGTATCTCTCACGGCTGTTTGTGATGACCATGACCCCTGGAAGACCTGAAGTACCAATGCTTTTTCAATTTTTTTTATCTGAATGAACTTGTTAGCCTGTAAACACTGCAAGTAGAAAGCCCTCATTGCCTCCCATGAGTGCTGGTGATAGACGGGCAAACGAAAGCAGTGAATGAAATGGTCCACTTAATCATTTTCTAACACTGTTGCAAATAAAACACCTTTATTGTTTCCATGCCAGATAATTTCCACTTATGATGAATTGATGATGTCGAGTTGATTTATATTTTCTCCCACTTCTGTTTCTCCTCTTGGTAGGCCAGATGATGTGATGCTCAATCACACCCATGATGAGACTGTCCTCTTGCACTGCTTCCTCTGGCCTCTGGTTACGTTCCTGGTCGGAGTCCTCATCGTGGTCCTGACAATCTGTGCCAAAAGTTTGGCTGTCAGGGCAGAGGCAATAAAAAAGAAGAAGCATCTGTAAACAGCAAGGCTCCTGATGGAAAAGAAAAACGTGCAAGAAGGTCTCAAGTGGGGCAACTCAACGCATCTGCAGGTCTGCAGGGCACCCGGCTGCGCCTCCTTCCAGTGTCTCATCTGACGGTGGAGTTGCTCTTGCCTCAGGATTATTCTTGGGAGACTGCCCCATGAAATGTCAGCTGATGGCTTCTTCTGCTATGACAGTAAATAAGTATATTCTACCAAAAAAACCCCTACGCTGCACCAAATATGCTTGCGCTGTTAGCCCTGAACAGCAGTTACCCAGGTCCTAGCAGTATTGAGAGACAGTTTATAAAAACCCCTGATTCACTCAATTTCATCTCCACAAAGTGATCTTTAGTATTGTTTCATATTAAATATTTAAAATACTTAATCTTTGATAGACTGTATTTCCAAAATAATAAAGTTTGTTTGGTTTGGGTTTTTTGAAACCTTTGGTTTTGTTTTGTTTTGTTTTGTTTTTAAAAAAAAAGCTTTAGGACAAAAATAACACTCTGGTGATTTTGTTTTTTTTCACTGTGTAGAACTTCATTTTAAAATTCAAACTTTAAATTCTGTTTGGACAACATCTTTCATCGTCACCCATTTATTGTGAAGAAATGTAGAAATCTCTCAGAAATACTTCTCAAAAAATTAAACAGTTATTGGAAAAGGTGATTAAATGCTGGATCTAATTCTATTGCCTCTGTGGTATTCAGTCCCTACAGCTTTTCTTGTCTGCTCTCAGTTACCCTCTTCAGCAAAATGCTCTCAGGCTGTAAGGAGCAGAGTTTTGGAGTGGTTTTACATCAATACATTTTACCAGCGATTCCCCCAAATAGCAGAGTGCCTGAGCGCTTGCTGAGGGGAGCCTGTGAGCCGTGGTGTCACGCACATCATGGGTCTCCAGGGATGGCCAGAGAAGGACATCAACTCTTTGTAGCGCCGTGGGTGTTTGCTGCTGAAACGCCCGTCCCACTCATGCTGGCCTCATGCAGGGTCCCTCCAAGGGGATGTTCCAGAAAATGCAAGGCAGGCTGGCCATGGCATCTCGCTGGGTCGCCTCTCTCTGCTTGTCCCTGCAAATTGCTGTGTACGACGGGAGTACCGGCCCTCGTCTGCTTGCTCGCTGCAGAGATTTCTGTTACGTCTGGAAGTTTCCCCAAGCACATCTGAGACCACAGTCGCTTCATGGCACCCGTCCTCGCCCCTGTAGGGCTGTGCACCCCTGGGACCAGCTGTGCAGCTTTGCAGGGCTGGCACTCAGCAGAGAAGAAAAGCCGCGTGGCTCAGCCAGGAAAGTGAGTCTCTCAGCATGTGATTACTGGCAAAGCATTTTAATCTACATTAACAATTCTGCAATTCTAACCAGACTGTCCATTGTACTAAGCTCTGATATTCTTAGTATTATGCTTAAATACCTTGTGTTTTGTTGTGCTTTTAACACATAGGTGAGGTATTTCCCGAGGATGAGGGAAGTGCTACATTTGAAAGCCTGAAAGCTTTGTTGGCACAAGGCATGGTGACAAACCTGCTTGGATTGCCCAGTCTCCATCTCAGATTAATCATATTGTGCCTTTAAGTGCTGATTTCTGTACGGCTTCTTATTTTGTAAACTTGTACGTGTTGTGGGCATTGTGGTGCCCAGTGATGAGGCTGGAGGTCATTCCCCGCTCCCCTGCTTGCTTGCTGTATAACTTTCGGAGAGTGGTCTGGTCCTGGTGCACTCCAGGATAGCTGTTCCTTCGAAGGAAGTTAAGGAAATCTGTTTGTGGAGGTGGGAACTTGATGCCTCTTGGCTAGTTACTCTGTATGAAAGATCTGATTAGTGTTAGTTGCACATTTTCAAGCAGTTCCATTTCTGGGGATGAAAAGTGCTGCTTGCATGAAAAATTCCCAATTCTCTGTTTCAAATATCCCCCCTTTGGAGGTGCCTGTTGTTAGGCTTACACAGGGACCCTCTGTCTCAGCCTGCCAAAAAGGATGGCACTGGATGAAGAGAAGTTGGGAGCACTCAGCCTGTCGGATGAAAGCCTGCTGACTTCTGGAAGTGCTGTCCTGCAAAGGACATGGCGTTTCCTTTCACTCGTGTGTCTATGCCATGGCCTCGCTCCCATCCTCTGCGATTCCCTTGCCTTGGCAACCCACAGGAACATTGCACACGTGCGTCTGGTTTGGGGGGTTGGTTACTGTATATATTTTCTTTCATATATTACTTTTTCACACTCTGCAAATCGTAGAAAGCTGCCACCATGGGGTGGTTTGGTTATCTGGGTAAGGTGGTAGCAAATTCTCCTCCTCTATTTCCTCTTGCTAATGTCTTGCAGGTAAGGGGAATAACCCAGATTTTCTGCATATACACGTACTTTATTTTCCCAAGGGAGTTGAAATATTTGGTGACACAGATTCATCATGGATTTTTAAGCCAGTAGCTTGGGGCTCACAAATCCAGATTAACAAAATCCTCTCTAGCTTTGCTCCAGAAGCTTTTGTGACTGAATCATGCAGCTGCTTCTCTGAGCAAAAGGCAAGAAGTGAATTCAGTTGATGCAGCTCACTTGATCAGCAATCGTATCTTTAAATCTGTTAGAAATGCCATTAGCGAAGGCCTCTGGAAGTAAGTAACGGTTACAAAGAGGATATGAAATCATTTTGCAGAGAGACTAACATCCCAAATTAAACATCTAAATTGGCATGCAAAGACAGACAGTAAGTATCTCCCTGACTTGGCAGTATGTGATGCTGAGGGATGGGAAAAAAAAAAAAAAATCCTAAAATTCACTCTTCTGTCCCAGCCTGCACCTTGCTGATTTAGAAATGTCTTTCTAATCCCCACAGTTGATCGTGGAAGCTGGGGATTTCCTTCTAGTGGATTATTCACTGATTTCCCCCTTGGCTTTGTGGATTTCCAGTTTTTGCAGTGTATTCTCTGAAGCATATTTGCAGCCAGAATGGCTGCTTTTTTCCAGAGCCATCTGCAGAGTCAACTTTTGCATTTTATTAAATATTTATATGCTATTGCTTTGAGGAATTTTGTTCTGTCATGCTGTCTGCTGCTCCGCTTCAGTAAGACCTGCCTTCTCTTTCACGTGGTGCAACTAAATCGTTTAGTTTATACAGTATCTTTCTCTGTTAGTGTCTTAGGCTCATTTTAAAAGTTGAAGTAGTAGGAGCATTTTGTGCTGCATTTTTCTTGCTTTGTGCATTTCTGTGTTGCCAGTAAAAGATGAGATTTCACAATGCATTAGAAAATTTAGCTACTGAATAAGAAGCTTAATTCAATGCTTGGAGCAGATGAAGGATGTCATGGGGGTATCCAGGGGCATTTTTAAATATCGTTGCCTGTCATTTCTGGTGTACATGTAGCCTTTTGACAGGGGTCCAGCACAGTCTGCTGGATTTGAAGGGCTTTTACCAGCTGAGCTCTTCAGTAAGCGCCGCAGGATGCAAGCTGGGAGGCGTGGTGAAGAGGTAGAGCCGTTTCCAAACTGGCGCTTCCAGGTGTGTTTTGAGGAATTTGTCCTAGATCAGAGCAAAGATGCCTGCAAGGTGTGAGAGTCCAGAGCTCTCCGTGCATCTGCTGCCTCGGCATAGCCTGCCACTGCCTGCCCCAGCCCCTGTGCTGCTGCCCGCAGGGTTTCCCCGGCTGCTGCTCACCTCTGGGAGCCCTCTGCTCCCGAGCCAGCGCTGCGGTGTCATTCCCGCAGGGGCAGGGATGTCTGGAGAGGGCCATCTCGGCTCATTTCACGCCCTACACAAAAGGATCCGTCGAGCATGTGTTACCCATCAAAAGTCCAGCTGGGAAATCTGAAAGGGGAAAGACTGGTTAATGTTTAAAACCCTTTCAAAGACAAGGTGTAGGGATTAAGTAACCTTGAGAAAGTGTCTAATGCAGGTTGCTAAAGGTTTAGGCCTTACTTGAAAAATTAGAACTATTTTCAAGTGGGCAGTCAGCACCTGTGTGAGTCTGGTACGATGGCAGGACAGCGTGGATCGCCTGTTAACAGAAGGAACGTGCTGTGCAAGCATCTTTGCTCAGTACTGCAAATACGGGAGCTGCCTGCCGAATCTGAGTTTCTGCAAACTTTAGCCTAAATGGCCAAAAGTATGTTAAAGCCAAGAATCAACACGTGGAAGAGGAGCCACGTAGAACAGTGTTTAATAAGAAAAGAAAAAAGCTCAGGCCATGGCTTATATTTAGGTAATCAGATGAAAGGAAGCACAGCAGAATTCCTAATTATGAAGCCTATTGTATCATGCGAATATTTTCTTGCTGTCCCTGACAGAAATCCTATAGCTGGAGTTATCGAAAAATCAGCTTATTTCTGTGTGTGATTTCTCCAAGAATCAAAAGCTGCCTTTTTTTTTTTTTTTTTTTCCCTCAGCATGGAGCAGCTGCTATTCCTCCATTAACTTTCAATCAGAAACCAACGCCTTCCCTTTCTGGCATCTTAAGAGGTTGCTACGCTGATCTGTCAAGCTAACAATCTTTGCTGCAGAAAGCATGAGCGGGAAAATCTCCGAGGGAATATGTGTGCAATTAATCATACTGCCTTGTCAGGTCACAGACCCACCGAATGAATCAACCCCAAAGTTTGATATTTGAGAGGCTGTGCAATTTTCTTTCTGGTTTGATATGCTAGCACGAATGCTGTCATTACTTGCACTGTGTTTAATTTGCAGCTCTTTGGTGGTCTTACGGTTTTAAGTCTCCTAAGCCAAGAAATCGCTTTGCATGCATTCGGTGCATGGCTGGAGATGCAATAGAAGAAAAAGAATAGCCCATTGAATTATATAGTTGTAATTTGGATATAAAATTTTAATATAAAATATGTTGGCATAGCTGTAAAATTACGTACACACCTACAGTACACAAACAATTTCCAGACAGCACATACAGCAATCAACCTGAAATAACTCTCCCAGAAATGCAGTAAGTTATTTAAATCACCTTCGATACAGCATTTAAAAAAAAAAAGCAATCTGCCTGTAATTTAATT